AAAAACACAGCACCAAAAGGTGGTAATATTTTACTGTTGTCAACTGTAAGGTGGAAGTTACTTCTCTAGAAGGGCGTTCCAATACGAGCGGAAAATCCGTTGATCCCTACCTCTCTCAAATTGTAGCATATAGTACCGGGGTATAAAAATATATTGAAATAAAAAAAAGTACCTGTACAGCTATCACGTGTCGTTTGCACGAGTTTACTGTTGCGCTTATAAGAAAGCAAGTTTAATATAAGGTTTCATGACTTGAAAAACTTTACGGTTGAGGGTTTTCTTAGTCTGCAATAAGGGACCTCCACTTCGTAACTCCTTTGTTGGAAATACTTTTGAGCAATAAACGGAAAGTCTTTAGCGAATACTGAAATTATACCTTAATATTTTTAATACCAAATTTCATGTTAAATTGAAAACTGATTCTACTTAACAAATCCAATTTATAATTTCAAATCAATTAAATGCGAAAATTTGACTGAATACAAATAATACAAAATATTTGTGCACGTATCACTTCTTAGCAAATAACCTCGATAGACCTCGAATTCGGCATATTCTCTTATAATCATCCACCAATACACACTGTGTCCGCATAATGAGTTATCTTCCCCCGATGCTGTCCATAGGAAAGGATTTGTGCATAAGGAACTCCAACAATAGAGACATTAAGTGTTGATGACAGAAAACGCTGTTTATAAATTAAATTATGGAAATGATTTTTGTTGTACTTAGGTTAGGGGCGGATGTAGACCCGAAGCATAAAGAGATATCCCTTGGTTTTAAATAGGTATAGAAAAATAAAAGACGATAAGCAAGCAAATGGAGACTAAAGAAATATTTCAATATTCCCCCTATATAGGGGGACAAAGGGGTATGGTGGTAAACCGCAGTACCAATTTCCCGCCCGTGTTTCAAAAGGGTACCAAAGGGTTGACATCGGGACAGTTATGCTGAGTTTTACAGGTGTACATAAGTAACAACGGTAGCCGAGTACATTCAGTTGCGTTGTACGCTGGCAACTGATTTTATATATCGGAAAATGCTTGGATATTCTCATCGTTATTAATACGTGAAGGGAAAACTTTACCGTAAGCCTCTTAAGCACTGTTTTTTTTGCCTATGTTGGCGTCTGGGTTGTGACATTTAGAGAATGAGAAATTGATTAAATTAAAATTATCTATGCCCTCAGGAGGTACAATGTCTGTTTAGTAAAATGTGCTTTCCCACAACATGTTATTTCGTTTCTTATAATGTTTTCTTCCTAAAATAATTGCTAATTAAGATTTACCCATGAAGTTATTCTCAGTAATTCGACCACGGGACTGTTTAATAGGGAGTTCTGGATTAATATTCTATAAAAAGTAGTCTCTTCGAACCAATAAGTATTTAGTGTTTGGTTTGAAAATAAAACGGCCTGTAATTGTATATAAATAATTATAGATAAGAAAACTTACAAAGAAGTAGCATCCATCGTTGGTAATCAATTTAAGGGTGGCGAACGCTGCCCAAAATATTAAACGCTAAAATGCTAAAACAGTGATATTTTGAAGTGATAACTTCTTATGGGAGGGTAAACCGCTTCGTTACTTTACGGCACCAGTCTGTCTGGCTTCCCTTCCTCACGTATACGGTAGCCGTAGGCGAGCACCTCCTCTCTCACTCTAACCCACAGCGCCATTTAGATTACTTTAAGTTATCACTTCTCTCGTGCGTCCGTGTCGTGTTATTTACGAAACAAACAGAACGACGCAGAACAAAGGCTAATTACAGTGATATCAAATAACTATTTACTAGATTGGCGGTTAAGCTATTTTGCTTTTCCCCGTAGAATTCATTAAAGTTTGAAGCACACTCTCCGAAGCGCAGTGTGTAGAACACGGAGAGATATTTTGTAAACTACATATCCCACATCTAGTAAAATTACCGTTTGGAAGTATGGGCTAGGCTGCGTCAAATCCGGTTGTTCTGATTTTTGAAGAATAGTTTATGATGTTATCCCAATAAATAATCGAAACTTTGACCTCTAGCACCAAACGCAACTACGTGAACAATTTCCGATTTTGGCGATTAAAACCGTTTTTTTTTTTATATAAAATCTTCATATGGCGTTTTTAAAGAAATCTAGTTATGTTACAATATGAGAGCCAATAGTTTACGACTTGTTTTCGATGTGATTTCGTAAAATTTTAATCAATCATTATTAACATCTACATTACGATATTATAGCTATTAACGGGATTGTTACCATGTACCTTGTTTTTTATTACTGGCCAAGCACGTAGCAAAAATATTGCAGCCAATAGTGGGACGAAAATCGTCGTTTGTAGAACCACCACTTCGTAGAAATCTTACACCAAAACAAGGTGGAAGATAAGGAGGTTAGTTTCGACGTGGAATCACTTTTCACAAATGTACCTATGGTTGACTGTCTGGAAGTAGTAAAGGTGAAATTGCAAGACATTAACATCCCGACGGAATATGCCAAGTTTTTACATCATTGTTTGACGACGAACTCCTTCATATACCAGGGTCAGTACTACCTCCAAATAGATGGGGTCGCAATAAGCAGTCCGGTAGCTCCAGTCGTTGCCAATATATGGATGGAGTATTTTGAGGAAAAGCTTTCGCCACCGCCCCCACAGAAATTGCACTATGGAAGAGGTATGTTAATAACGTATTTTGTATATTGAGAGGAAACAAAGAAGATGTCGAGGCTCATTTGGCAAATTTAAATGGAGTCCATACCAAAATGCATTTCACATATGAGATGGAAGAAGACCGAAGTCTGGCATTTCTTGATGTAAAGATTCGGGTGCGGAATGATGGTTCGCTGAGTCATTCCATTCACCGCAAACCCACACACAGAGACCGTTATCTCAACGCCTCCTCGCATCGCCACCCTAGACATCAAAACTGTGTAGTGACTTCACTGACGAACCGTGCATATGATTTGTGTGACAAGGAACACCTGCACGAAGACTTGGAGTATGTACGGCGGGTCCAACAGAATAATGGATAGAAGGGAAGTTTCCACCCAAACAGAAATTAAGGCACCAGACACATAAAGTAAGCAGGCAACCAGTGTTTTTGCCATATATCAAAGGAGTGACAGACAAGATCTCGAAACATACTTAATAAGTACTCACGGAATACTCTTCACTCCTTTACAAAAAGTGTCACAGTTTCTACGATCTCCCAAAGACAACTTCCCTTTGGAGAAACCTGGTGTATATAAGATCGACTGCAGCTGTGGTAGTTCGTATATTGGCCAAACGAAGCGGACAATAGCTTGCCGAATGAAAGAACACATAAAAGCAGTCAGAAACAATGATACCCTAAAATCAGCTATCGCGGAACATTTAATCGATTCGGGTCCTAATCACTGGATTGAGCTCCGTACTCCACAAATCATCTCGACAGAACGCCACTGCATACCAAGATTGGTCAAGGAAGCGATTGAAATAACCAAACACAAAAATAATAATCGTGAGGATGGGTTTAAATTGTTAAGTGTCTGGAATCCAGTGGTTCGTATGTGCAAAAACCGCAAAAATCAAAAAAGTGGCGTTCCGCGATCTGATACTGTGACTATTGTGTGTCGGGAACAGGTGCGATTGAATAGTGAGAATGTGACCTATGGTAGGGTATCGAGCGCAGTAAAAGACGACGTCAGAGGGTAGACTGATACGTCTGCCAATAACATCTACCCGCAATTACTTCAGTTACTCCGTGATCATGGCGCTTGCAACAGTGCCGAAATATCAGAGACTCATAAAAAACAAGGTACATGGTAACAATCCCGTTAATAGCTATAATGTTAGTGACCATGAAAGTTTAAAACAATATACATTACGATACTTTGTAAAACGTTTTTTTAATTGGCTTTCGCTTCCACTAAATAGATTCTGAGCGGTCACAAACTTTGATTATGCATCGGGCCATCATCATAAAGAAGTCTTGAAAAATCAGAAATTTCGGATTTGACTCATAATCTGAAATATTACTTTTACTGAACTACGAGTAGTTATGGGCCTGTTATGATTTTGTTTGGAACATCTTATGCATACAAAGTAAGCTACTAACCATAAGAGGTGATATTAAAATAAAATATGAAAGAACATAAAAATTGTAGTCTTTGTTTGCGTTCAGTCTGTGACATTAAGGTTTATTGCTAAGGTGAACTTGTCCTTGTACTAACAGTCGCAAAACTCGCACTCAACAAAAAGTTCAAGTCCAATGCTAGCACAACATCTATTTCTTTACTCACTACTGACAGCAATTTATCCTTATCATACTCTATCTGTAGGAAATGAATAATAGAGACTGATATCAAAGTAATAATAAAATAACAAGCCAATTAATAATTTCTATTTATTTACGTCACCACGAGAAACATTCAGCACATAATTTTATATCTGAAAATAATAAAACATAAATCAATCAAAAGCCAGTAAAGTGTCTATTTCGAGGAGCTTAATGGCACAGGTGATTAGCGTTTTCGGCTGCGATCGTTGAAGTTAAGCAACTTTCGCAGTGGTCGGTCATTGGATTGGTGACCAAAAATTTACTATAGAGCTCCTCCGTACTTCGGAAGGCACGTTAAGCCGTTGGTCCCGGCTGCATCTGCAGACGTTAGCACCCACCAATCCGCACTGAGCCTGCGTGCTGGGTCATGGCCCAATCTCCCTATTCCATCCATAGGGAAGGCCTGTGCCCCAGCAGCGGGAACATTAATAGGCTATTGATGATAATAAGTTTCTACAGAATAATATACTCAAAAAAAATCCTTTCGGTCCAGGTTTTAGGCGGGATTCGAACCTGCATCTTCCACTATCCGGGCGGAAGCATTAACCAATTTTGCGACCGAGATCTTAATGGCCGTGCCGAATTTCCTCTAGTATTTCTTAGCCTACAACGCAGCGGAAGATGCATGTTCAAATCCCGTCTGATACCTAAACCAAGTAGATTTTTCCCATAATTAGTTTTTTTTATTGTTACAGTTCGAGTTCGTCGACATGCATTATGGCACCGATGGTGGGGACGAGAACAATCCCGCCCTGCTGCGGTACCATCTCGACGAGATACGCAGCTACAATAGAACCTCCAAGGCTGGCTACTTCATGGTAAAAGTCTATTTTGTTTTATTGATTTTCAACTTTTTCACCTAACTGAAGTCAAGTTCGATTGGAATCCGTTAAGTAGACAACTGTGCCCTTAGCACGAACTAATGTCAAACTCGTATAGTTGAATTCAATCATGATACGCGTTAGGTGTCAAGAAGTTTTATATGGAAACTTGAACAGAATTTAAAATTGTCCATACAAAGCTTCTTGACATTTGACGTGCATCGAGATCGAACTCGATTATAGTTTGTACTAAAGCTACTAGTGCTACAACCAACACAACACAGCAGCTTCATTAATCTATTTATTATATTTTTGAAGTGAAACTTCTTTATCGGCGTTGGAAAAAAATTACCGTCACATTTTTCAGTTACGCGTCACATTTTTCCGTTACGCGCCATCTTTTTTTATATTAATAGTTGATAGCTGAATGATCACACTGTCGCCGGCGAGAACTCTCTCTACTCGTTTGTAGCTGAGTGACAATAGTTATTAAAGATAAGACTCGCTCAGCCAAACTCGCATAGCGATACTCGCTCAGCGATACTCGCTCAGCGATACTCGCTCAACCATACTCGCTCAGCGGTACTCGCTCAGCGATACTCGCTCAGCGATACTCGCTCAGCGATACTCGCTCAGCTATACTCGCTCAGCTATACTCGCTCGGTTAAGCTGGCTTGGCTGTCAAAAGCCGTGCGCGTGCATTTTAACTCAGGACTGCCAATTCGTTTCTAGTTTCTACTCGCTTATCGTTCATCGTCGGAGGTGGAACATGTGCCTTAGATTACTGAGCCGTGTAATCATAACAGTTTCATAGGCAGTAATTTGTATTCATGTCTATGGTAATAAAATCCTTTTGTTTAAACTTTATCTAATTTAACTTTATTTAACCAATTTCTGGAAAGTTGCATGTAGATCATTTTTCGAAAAATAAGGCCATAAAGAAGTTTCACTTCTTACGTGTGTACACTAGTACACGCACACATTTTTTATTATTTAAGCAATTAATCCGCTAGATGTTTTAATTTAATTTTCAATTATCTATTTCATCCTGACTGACTGAAATATTCTGGCTTTAGTATTCCATTGCGCAAATAGATAACTCTACTTCTCGTCAGGATTAGCGTGGTATCGAAATTATCAAACATAGTGAATTCTAATATGATATCGCTATAAACATCAATCACATCAATTTATTTTTTATGAAAATCACGGCAAAAATCACGACTAATAAATTGTAAACGACAAAATCACTGTAAATCGTAAAATCTCATCAGTAGCTTCGTTAAACCAAAATGGCTTCGTTTATCGTAGGTACTAAAAAGTTTTACTTCTTGCCGACATTAAGAAAGTTGTTCCACGAAGTTATTCCAATTGCTTCTATTGTTTCTTCTTAATCTCAATTTTAATTCGGTTCGGTTCGAGAGAGAACACTGTCTCCCATTCTAATTGAACTGAAATCAAGTTTCTTAATTAAATACGTTTGAAATGAACTAACATTTAATGAAAATGCGTCCAGAGTTTAAAAATAAACTAATTAAAATAAAATATTTTTAACAAAACTACAAGATTAATAAATAGCACTTATATCTAAAGTATTTATATCATACAAAATATTTGTGTTTTGATTTTTATTGGATTGATTTACTTTTAAATTTAAGAGCTATTGTAACTTAGATTACACTAAGTTACAATAGCTTTTATGTAAATTGATATTCATATTTTACATAACATTGCTTTTCCCGGCTCAGCCCCTCTAGCATGACCACCGAAACGGGATATGATAAAGCGATATATCGGCATTAACTGTCAGACTACTATAGAGTTTGACAGTAGTCTGACAGTTAATGTCGATATATCGCTTTATCATATCCCGTTTCAGTGGTCATGCTGAGATCATGCTGAGATCCTTTACTTCACTTTCAACTTCGATAATATGCACTTTGACAAACATACATTGCTTAGCAACCAAATTAAAGTAATCATTTATGAAGAATCTCTTGTCATAGGTACTTATTATTATGTAATTGCAAAGCCGTCTGTGGTGGTCTTTGGTAAATATTGCGCTTTCTGAGGGTAAATTAATAAGTTACTAAAATTAATATCTAAATTACTGTAAATGTGCCATTTATTTTTTAACATTTCCTACAATTTCTTTGGGATTCTATCATCAGATCATCACCTAATTACAACGGGATCACCTGGGAAGAATACCTATTCAAACAAAAAAAAAACAAAACGGAGATTTCGAACCAATCCAGGGGCTTTGGGTTAGAAATTAAAAGAAATTCGACAATTAATGACCTTCATCTTTCGAAATAAATAAGCTTAGTTAATATAATAATGTCCCCTAAATAACTTTTTCCTAGAAAACACGATTAAACTTAGGATTCAAGATACTCGTAGCTTAAAGGGATTTATCAAGTTACAAATACAGTACCTACAAGACCTACAAGAATACAAATGTTTAAAATTGATAGGTAAAAACCGGTTTTAGCAAAAATTTAAAGGGATTCATAAAAACAAAAAGTTTTACTTTAACTCAAGTGCATTTAAAGTTAAGTAACGTCTACCTTACAGAAGATCAGAGAAAAATAACACTACCTTTTGGTGGTGTTGTGTATCTGTCTGTAAGGTTCCAGGGCATCACGGGGTAGGGGATAGGGTCAGGGTAGACAACCGTGCGAGTGATATCAGGCAGGCCACATTTTTAACATAAATAATAACAACATCTGGAGTCACTGGCAACTTTATTAAATAAGACAAGTCAGAAGAATAAATAATAAATAAATATTTCCAATACTCACACCAATTAGCCTAGCCCCAAAGTAAGCACTGTAAAGCTTGTGTTATGGGATACTAGGGTAACGGATAGAATACATATACTGTACATATATATAAGCGTATTTATAGAGAAATACATATTAAACATCCATGACTGGAGTACCAATGCTCGTATTCATCACACAAACATCTGCCCCAACCGGGATTTGAACCCGGGACCTCTTGAGTCGGCGACACCATGAAACCCGGCGTACAAACCACTTGGTCACGGAGGTCGAGAATATACAGACACGGACGCAGCGAGGTACTTTATGTCCATCCTACTGCTGGGACACAGGCCAACCCTATGGACGGAATAGGGACAATTGGTCTATAACCCACCACGCAGGCCCAGTGCGGATTGGTGGGTGCTAAAGACTGTAGATGCAGTTGGGACCAACGACATAACGTGCCTTACGAAGCTCGGCGGAACGCGAGATAATAAGTTTTAGATAACTCACACAATGGCCGGCCAATGCGTATACCACCTGCAGTATCGAACTCTTCTTGAAACTTTATTTTATTAAAGCTTGTTTATGAGACATAACAATAAAACCTCATGTAAAGATTGGTAAATACTGACGATAACTGACCAAATTAATAAAAACCAAAAATAACAGGTCATAGTAGTGTTAGAAAATTAAGACGCTAATTCAGGAGGTTCAAGGCATAATTAATCTTATTTGATTTCAGATTAAGCAAGTCCAGCCTTTTCGCATAGATCAGAAGAATAGGTGATCAATGAAATTAATACCTCATGTGTCCGATACACACAGTATAACAAACGACTACACTAATGAGACGGGATCAAATTAGCTGTTATTAACAGAATCTTCAACCTTACAACTGGTCTATATAAATTAAATAGGGAATGGACAATTAAATATACCTACCTACGCACAGACAGCTACAGTTCAAGTTACCCAAACCTTTTACATTTCGTCTACCGATGCTGAGCTTTGAAATGCTTCATATAAGATTCAGAATCCATTGTTTTTAGGGTTCCGTACCTCAAAAGAAAAAAACCGAACCCTTATAGGATCACTTTGTTGTCCGTCCGTCCGTCTGTCAAGACCATTTTTCTCAGGAACGCGTTGAGGTATCACACTGAAATTCATATCTAATACTCATGTCTACCGTCCCTTGGAGCTGTGAAAGAAGCAAACTTCTAAACCGAAGCAATCAAAAGATACAGCCATTTATGCCGCAAATTTCCGCAAATTCTCGAAACTTGCACGGGAATCAAAACCTACAGGGTACTTCCCGTGAACTAAGAATCTTGAAATTTGGTACGAAGTAACGTCTTATAGTGCAGATAAAGGAAAAATTGCGAAAACCGTAAATTATTAGTTATATCATATAATAAAAAATGTTTTTGAAAATTTTAAAGTTACTACCTTTTCTCACTAACGCGTAGAGGTATTAAATTGAGTTTGTACGGAACCCTCGGTGCGCGAGTCCGACTCGCGCTTGTCCTATTTAATTTATTAAATTAATATTTATGATTTTATTTTATTTTTTTAAGCAACTAACTGCTAGATGTTTAAATCTAAAGAAAAGTTTACTAGAAAAAAATCCACGCGGACCAGGCAGCGGACGGGACTCGAACCCGCATCCTTCGCTATCCGGGCGAATGCACTGACCATTATGCTACCACGGCCCTATTAGCCGCGTCGAAATTTTCCTAGCCTTAAGCTGCAAGGCAGCGCCATCTCTTCGCATTGTAGGTATTATTAATATATTTATTATTAATTATTATATTTATAATTTATTATTATTATATATTGTATAATAAATTTTATTTATTTTTTAATTTATTTATTTATTGTAAATTTATTTATTATTAAAATTTTATATTAAAATATAAAATATAGTATTTTCATGTAGTTTACTCGACTGGCAGTCGCACTCACAAAGGCCAATAAAACTAAATGCTTGTCAAACTGGTGTGCGGTCATTGTCTATTTAATTGCTCTTTACTTATGAAAGTGACAGCATCAACTTTAATATTTATTAAAGCCCCTCAGTGCGGTGCGGTGGTTTGTTTCAAATTGTGTATAATTGTACTGAAAACTTCGTGTACTTAAATTACGAGGCGAACACGACGACAGACGAATGGTTGAAATATAGAGCCTAGTAGAGTCCCATTTAACATTGGCCGGGTTCAACTCCAACGCTCGCTTACAGTAATGACAGGTTAATTGCCAGCCCATCGGCTACAATAGTTTCGGGAACTACCCTATCATTTAAACGTAGATTGTGCACCAAGGGTATAAATCAGTGTCATATGTCACGGGCAGCATATTGAATTCTGAGCCAGATAAAGGATTCTGTTAATTCCCGATCGCAGTGAAGGACTTAAGATGTTAATTGTCGAAAAAAGTGTTAGAATCTTGAATTATGGTTAGAATCCTTTTATAAGTACCAAAAATAGTTTTGAAAAAAAGGCTGTTCGATGTTACTTCCTGCGCTCCAAGGTTTGATGAAAAATAATTGACAAAAAATCTATGCTGTATATTTTAAATATCAACTATCCTTTACCTACGGAACTAAGTATCTAAAGAAAAAATCGGTGATTTTTCAATACGATTTATACTTTGTGAATTATGAATTTTTTGTCATTTAATAATTTTAAACTGAGAAGAATATTAATGACAGAACATTAATGACGGAATTTTCCCGAAAAATCCAAAGATCAAATTAATAAAAGTTAATGAAGAGTTTAGAAAATGGATAATGAGTAAACAAGTGGAGTCATTTTTTGAATCTTCATCACATTAAGTTTCCATCGGAGTAATCCTACCTACTTTACTACGTTCGGGAATTAACTATAAACGGAATCCCTCATTTTGCTTAGAATGCAATATGCTGCTCTTGACATCATATACACTGCCTCATCCCCTTTCTGTTAAATTAACTATTACGGGCTACCTGTTTTCGCTCCTCGTTCAAATTGGAATGAAGAATTCATTTTAAATTCTGTCAACTTTTGATAGGGTAACAAAGCAATGTTGCCAGGATATGGATAAAAATAAACATATCGATGCTATCCGCAAAAAGAGATTATAACCACCATTTCCATGAAAATGATATGTCAATGCGATCCTAATTAATTTTTGGCACTATATCGATCTATGTGTACCTTTGTATGTTTATCCATTTACTTCATCGTAGCACATCTTCAAAGACCTTCCGCCCAGCATTAAGATATAGTGTCGTTACAGCACTCCATTGAAAGAATTTCAGCGTTCATCACACTAATATTATAAAGGCGAAAGTTTATGAGTGTGTATACAGGGTGTAAAAAATCCTATGACAAAAACTCAAACTACGCATTCTGTACACCCAGACAAGTAATATTATAAAATATTATATGTGGGAAAAAAAAATTAAGTAAAAAAAATCTATTTTTATTCCAGTACACAATGTATAGCGTGGCGCGCTACTGTAGCGCTAGGCAAACAATCTGCCTGTATGTATGTGTGTGCGTGTGTGTAAGTGCGTCGATAAAAAAGTTTCTAAATAACGTTTTTGTAAAAATCTTGAAAAAATATTGTGACTTTGACCTTCAATATCTCCATAACCATAAATTTCCCAGGTATACTCCACAAGAAAAAAATGATCGTCATCATGTGGAAAATACGTGGCCTTCGACTTCGTTAAAGTTTTTTTTACACCTTGTATACTTGTTCATGTCTGGAGCGATTTTAATAAAATTGGGTATATATATAAATAGGTTACGTTTTACTGCGGGTAAATATCCCTAATAAACCGTGGGTAACACCGTGGGGCACAGGTAGTATGAAATAAAATAACCTTTTTGATTGCGTCGTATATTATACATACTAAAATAAACTCCTCTCTTGAATGAAATCTACTGCTAAAAGCTTCATGTTTTCTCATCAGTGGCTGGGAACCTAATGATTGCAAAAAAATAAGCCTTCAGAACGTACTTACAGATTATTATATTGTTAGTTTAAGCATTAACCGCTAGATTATTAAATCTATTTTCTAAATCTATCCGTATAGCGGAAAGTGCAGTTTCGAATACTGACTGATGCATAGATCAGAAAAAAAAACCTGTCGGTTGAGTATACATTATTAGAAACGACAGATGTTTTTTTTTCTAGTATTATTATAAATGTGCAAGTTTGTATATTTGTTACTCAATCACGCATAAAATACTGGACGGATTTGGATAAAATTTGGTTTGCAAATAGTATATGACCTTAATTAAGACATAGGATACTTTTAACCCGGAAGAATATTAGGTTTCTGTAGGATTCTCAAAAAGCAAAAGTTAACGTAACTTTTTCTGGATTATTCCGTTACCTATTTCAGGCACCGGCCCACCACAAACTTAGGTTACCTACAATAAAAAAAAATACGAGTATAAACTTTTGAAATACATGGGGAAAATGCTTTGCAGCATTCGTTCTTCTCCTGTCATCCTAATATAACATTGTCAACAATCACGGTATCGTGGTATTATTGACAGTGTAATATGCCATATCGCGGTATCGTCGCTACAACTAGTGATACTGCGATCGTAGTATTACTGCGTTAATATTCATCAATACCCCAATAACAACAAAATTTTTAGGGTTCCGTAATCCTGATAAGGAACCCTTATAGTTTCGTCATGTCCATCTGACCGTCCCCGGTTTTGCTTGGAAACTATAAGCATTGGAGAGCTGTAATTTTGTGGATATATGATCACACCGTATATTTGATCTGGAATCTGGAAAATTCATGATAATAGTGCTTTTAATGAATTTTTAAGGAAAACTATAAGGGTTAAGATAGATTTGTTTGTTTAAGAGTAATAGGCGTTCAACTTTAGTTAAACAAAATTTCTTACCTATTGAAAATTCCTTAGAAGAAAACATTAATAGTGACATTGAAGTTATTGTAGATTGTATCTTGCATTGCAACAAAATCTAAAAAAACTATTTAAAAACCGCAATAAAATATCATTAGTTCCACAACGCTACCGCGAGTACAACGGCAACGACTTCTGAGTCGCGCTAACATTACGTTTTTATAAACTTGAAAAGCGGCGGTTATACCGCATCTTATTATATCTTATCTTATTATCCCTTCTCAGAGGATGATCGCTTCAGATGAAGCTTGGAAGCTCCTTCTGGCCATAAGCATGAGCTACGGGTGTGTTTTAGTCAGTAAGAGTCTGATATATCCTTGCAGCTGACAGTAGGGTATTCATGATGATTTCACACCCGCTCCCTAGCCCGGGAGGAAACAAAAAAATCGGCGGTTTATAATTTGTATTTAAAAAAAATATAATATCGAAGAGAGTTTGAGACGCAGTTAGACTTTGATTTAGGTATTTTAGTTGAAATACATAGATTTATATTAATTGGTTTTTCTAATTTGCGATACAGGCAACTACGGAACCCTACACTGCGCGTGGTACGTCACACACTTGTTCGGTTTTTAATTATATTTCTTTCTTTTTTTTCTACCTTAGTGCCTCGTCGGCGGTGACGCATCTTTCTACCAGCCAGTGTTGCCGTTCAAAATCCCCGAAGCGACCTTCGAACAACTGATGAAGCCGGATTCAGCACAAGCGGCCTTAGTCCGAGCCTGCTACAGGCTAAACGACGAGGGTGACTACCAACTGGAGGGCGACGACAAGTGGTAAGTTATGGAATCCAGTGTATAATTGCTCAATTATATTGACCAAAAGTTTAATTTTCAAATGAATATAAAATATTCCTTATATTGCACCAATTACACCCAATAAGCTCTATTAGTTCTATTATCACTGTCTGCATACAATCTGATGCAAAATATTGTGTTAATTCTTACCTATAAACTTGTTGGGCTAGAACTAGAATTAGCACATCAACCATTTCAGGCAAGAATTAACACGATCTCCTGAGAACCTTTAACAAAACGAGATATACAGAATCAAAATTGAGGTGAACACCTTTTTTCATTTAAGCTTATGTTAATTTACCATTATGTGTGCGTTAAGTTATAGGTACTTCAAAAACATCAATTTCTTTAAAACCAGTATTGTATTGTAAATCTAGTCTATAAAAGAAAATTGGAAATTTCTTTGTCTTTCTTTTTTAAAAACCTACATCTAGTAGGAAAGATCTTGCCCAATTACGTGCCAGAACATGTAACAAGAAAGAAAAAGAAAATCAAAGCGGCCTCTCCTTATCCAGAGACAATTTATTCCCCTCTCAAATCTGAGTGCCCGCGAACGATTTCAAGGGTGCCAGCCCTAAGACAAATCTCTTTTATTGTTTCGTTTACCTGCATCCGACAATATTTCTTGAGAAACACTTTGATCATTCATACACTACGTTCCATCTATTTGGGCAGTAACATTTTTACGGTTATTTCTCGGCGAAGAGACGCGTTTACTCAGTGGTATCGTAAATAAATAATTTATCGGAGGGAATCGATCGACTCTAATATCGGAATCACCTGCGGAGAAGTGTTATCTTTTATTGGTAGGATTAGACGAGGGAAGGGCTGGGCTTATGACATGTTTTTTGTTTACTTTCAGTCTTACACGAACATTACATTGCTGAGAATATTTTAATGAAAATACGTTATGAATACCTACTGAAAAGTTCTGGAATTGAAATTGTATTATTCTTGAATGTTCATAGGTAAAACTTTTTAACAGAAAATAAAAATATATTGCTTCAAATTGAATAATGTTTACATTTTTAATAGTAGAAAAGTTTTGTTCATCTATCTGATTTTATACATAAGAAGAGGTCGAAAATGAAGAAGAGGAGGAAATCCGCTATGCCCGGATTTTCCCCTCAAATTGGAGCTCCAATTGGGAAAATAACCTCCAACTTACAGAAGACTACAGTAAAATAGCATTACACTACCTTTAGGAGGGGTTAGGGTGGTGTTGTGTTTCTGTCGGTAATAAGGTTCCAGGTCTCCGCGGGGTAGGGGATTGTCAATGGCGCGAGTGATATTTTTTTGTATCGCCAGCGTCTATGAGCTATGGTGGCAACCTACCATCAGGCGGGCCATATGCTGATATGCTTGTTTGCCTACCTTTTAACAAAAAAAAAGGATTTTACTACGCCATAGAACTCCTAAAAATTAACTAATACATCTATTCACCTTTTTTATCAATAACCGATTAAGCAGAAAATTCTCAGCTATTGTCGATATTATAAATTTATCGACGTCTGTTAGTCTCTTTCCTAAGTTATTTTGTCATAGGCGCAGAAATTAGACCAACCCATAATATGGGTTGGTCTAATTTCTCGGTCGTTTATTTATTTATTTATTCATTTATTGCATGTCACATAACATTCATGGTGGTACGTTAATTTATGTAAAGTAAATATGTGACGCCCTGCAAGGGCATAGCAAATATCAAGCCAGAGGGCTTATTAAATAGTTATATTATAATACTTAGTTCACATTCGTTGGTCGAAGGTCGCGGAATTTGTAAAAGCCTTTTAGTCATATGGAGCAGTCTTGTAGTAATTCGTGGCTCCTTTCTGCTTTTTGATAATATTAGGTAGTGATTATTAGACACGTTTTCCAAAAATTTAATTCTCATTTTTCGGTCGTTGGTCGAAGGTCGGGAAATCTGTAAAAGCCTTTTAGTCATATGGAGAAATCTTGTATTAATTCGTGGCTGCTTTCTGCTTTTTACATAATATTAGGTAGTGATTATTGGACACGTTTTTCGAAAATTTCCACTGCGCTGCATTTACTTAACCAGTGGGGATTTCTGGAATAGAAAATAATTTCTGTGTATCTGTGGAGCACGTTGGCGCAGGTGGATAGTGCGTTCGACATAAGTTAAGCAGCTTTCGCAATAATCGGATGGGTAAACAAACACTTATTATTTCGAGTCGTTTAGAACTATATATTAGAACCCATTCGCCGAATACACCCAAGTCAGTTCCGGCTTGAGGTTCCATTCAACAATCTATGAGATTACCTAATAGAGGTCTTTTGTTCACAGGTACAGCAATTTGCTAGATCGCGAAGAACAACGGAACCGTTTGTGTGAAGTCCAGAAGGCGTTCAACGCTTTAGCGCTAGAAGCGCTGTCAGATGGTGCCGATATCACTAACTTGTTGCAGAGTCCAGTGGAACTACAATGTGAATTAGCGCTAGGTATTTATGATTTAATAATAATGCTTATTCCATACTTGCGTGAAGAAGCTTCGGTTGACTGATACTAAAATGCACTAAAATATGCGTTCGAACTTTGAACTACGCTCTCTCAGCTGTACATACAAATTTATGTTTTTTTTTCTCCCAGGCAGGGGAGCTGTTGTGAAATCCTCATGGATGCCCTTCAGCCGGCTGAAGGGTTAAGTCAAACTCTTACTGACTAAAACACACACGTGGGGGGATGCTTATGCCATGTCCTTGCAGGCTTCACCTGATGCGAGCAACAAATGATGCAGCGCTGCCTTAGTAAATAATACTGCATAGCGAGTCAGTTTGAGACTGAGCGACTGAAGGTCTCTCAGGATCAGGGGGGGGGCAAATTTATCGTCTTCCACGACCTCTTTTATACGTGTCAAATTAGCGCCAGCTGCCCGCTACTTCATTACCGCAGAACTAATTAAAATTTTCGTAATTTGAATTAGTTCTGCCGTAATGAATTCGCTAATTTCAGCGCATTTAGTCCTACGTCCAAAGTCACCCGAAGCTACGTCGCGCAGGTGTGGGAGAAGTAGACTTAGTGAAGAAATTTGCTACACCGTACATACATGAATTAAAGTGTGTACTTATTGGCCAACAGTTTAGATTTTCCTTAAAAAAGTTTACTTGTGCTCATATTCATTGTGTTCGTTTAAACGCATGATAAATGGTAATTAATAGTGATGAAATTTGTATGCATGCATGTTTGTGAAAATTTGATAACATAACGTCTATAACCGTTGTTTAGCTTTGGTTTTGAAACTTTGAAACGTAAATTCGTAGATGTACATCTTGTTATGCGTCATCTAGCGAAATCACATGTTGCGTAACGACACCGTGTTGAGGAACACTTTTTCATTTTAAGGTAAAAATAGTTGCCTAATGAATACATTCATGATCATCATCATCATCAGCTTATTAATGTCCCCACTGCTGGGGCACAGGCCTTCCCTATGCATGGAATAGGGAGATTGGGCCATGACCCACCACGCGGGCCCAGTGTGGATTGGCGGGTGGTAACGACTACAGATGCAGCCGGGACCAACGGCTTAACGTGCCTTCCGAAGCACGGAGGAACTCGAGATAGAAGATTTTTGGTCACCCGTTCAATGACCGACCACTGCGAAAGTTGCTTAACTTCAACGACCGCAGCCGAACGCGGTAACCACCTGCGCCATCGAACTCCTCTATGATGAATACATTATAGCCCTTTAAATAAAGAAGAGAAATTATAGTCAGAAATGAAATATAAACAAAAGTATTCATTGTAGTAGCACCAATGTTTGTACTTGACCCCTTGTTACTCCAAAGAAATGAGTAAAATGTATGCATTTTGTTTCACTAATATAAAGTATTTAGCAATATTTTAGTCATTTTGAAAGTGCTCTATACGTAAAAGAAATGCAGTTTAAATATTGGCAGGCAAAAGCTTTTAACCGGATCAATGCATTAGCATTAGCACAGGTTAAAAGTGACCTAAATATCGGAGTATAATTTAATTGACACAGCAAAAAGGACTGAAACCATATTATGTCGCAGGTTGTTTCAGTGTAATTAAGCGTAGAAAGTGTTGAATATATTGTCTAATTAATTTTTCACATACTAAATAACGTGAGAATGAAGATCTCCATGGCGCAGAAGGTTAGCGCACTCGGCCTGAGATCGTTGAAGTTGAGCAACTTCCGCAATGGTCGGTCACTGGATGGGTGACCAAAAAACTTTTATCTCGAGTTCCTCTGTGCTTCGGACGGCACGTTAAGCTGTTGGTTCCGGCTGCATCCGCAGTCGTTAGAACCCGCCAATCCGCACTGGGCCCGCGTGGTGGGTCATGGCCCAATCTTCCTATTCCATCCATAGGGAAGGCCTGTGCCCCAGCAGTGGGGACATTAATAGGTTTGATTTTTACGAGGCCAATGTTAATGTGAAAATTTTAAGCAATCAAAGCGAAATTGATCGCTGAATAAAGTTAATAGTAGTATTTGTTTCTTAGGTTTCCACGCACATCACTCATTAAATAAAACTAGTTTTTTACGGGTTAATGTACGAAACTTTATTTATTTTGCTTTCGTTCGCAGCCTTTACAGGCTGAGTCGTTGGAATAAATTCTTTATTTATAAATAAAATCAAATCAATCATCAATCAATTTTTTATTTATTAATAAAATTCAATAAATAAATAAAGTTTCGTGCATTAACCCGTAAAAAACTAGTTTTATTTAACAGTAGTATTTTTACATCCCAATTGATATTGTTTTACATTCTCACTACTGATGCAAAGACAAAACGTTTGCTTTGGACTCTATTATCATCTTGTTACGAAGGAATGGGCATGTGCGAAATACCTTTAATGGTAATTATTGAAATTAATTTTACACGTACTAAATAACGTGAAAATGAGGAGTTTGAAGGGGCAGGTGGTTAGCGCACTGGGCATGTGATTGCGAAAGTTAAACAACTCTCGCAGTGGTTGTTCATTGGATAGGTGACCAAAAACTTATTATCTTGAGCTCCTCCGTGTTTCGGAAGGCATGTTAAGTCTTTGGTACTGGCTGCATCTGCAGTTGTTAGCACCCACCAATCCATACTGGGCCCGTGACCCATACTGGGCCCGTGTGGTGGGTCACGGCTCAGTTTCCCTATTTTATCCAAAGGAAAGGCCTGTGCCCTAGCAGTGGGGACATTAATAGGCTGATTATGATATTCAATAACTAGGTATTAATATTTTCCATTAATCAGTAATTACAGTTTATCAAAGCGCGTCTCCCTGAGATAATTAAAGGGTAAAGCTGTAAAACAAACCCATTTCTGAAACCCTTTCTTCATATTAACAATAAACATTTAATGTTAGTACTTTAAATTAACTTTGTCCAACATCTTTGCTGAGTGAATTTATTCCTTTATATAAAACGGAAAATAAGATTTTTAATGATTAATGTAGAAACTTTGCGCATCGTGTTAATGAAGTACCCATTTTCAGATCTATTGAAAACAGGAAACCATCCGAAAGGTATCGTGGCTGTAATCCGAGACATAGTGGAGCCAGAAAGCGATGACTCCAAGATCACAGTATTAGCGCACGGGAGATTAAAAAAACTGAAGCAGAGACTAGAAGATTCGCTACCCGACAACCACATCGTAAGACTGGAGTAAGTGAAATTTGTTTCTAGGTAATGGATCATCAGGCCTTCTCTATTGGCGAAATAGGGAGGTTGAGCCGTGACCCACCACGCGGGCCCATTGCACACTGGTGGGCTGACGACTGCAGATGTAAACAGGACCAACAGTACCATCCGAAGCACGAAGGAGCTCGAGATAATAAGTTTTTGGTCACCCATCCAATGATCGACCATTGCGAAAGTTAGTTAACTTCCATGATCGAAGACCGAACGCGCTAACCACCCGCGCAATCGACCATCCCAGGTAATGGATACTTATAATTCTGGACCAATACAAATGATACTCCACGGGATAGAAGTTTGGGTCAGGAAAGGTAACGAACAGCGCGAGTGATATCACACTAATATTATAAATAGATGCCCGCTTACAATCAGATATGCTTGTTTGCTACCCTTTATAAAATTTTTAGTATTGCCTCTTACTCAATGTATATATAACTAAATACAATCTGGTAGAATCAAAGTCAACGATGAAATCTCACAAAAATACATTGTTGACGGAAACCCCTTAAAAGGCTCGGGAGAGTCGTAAGCGTCGTATGAAGGGGGAATAACAACAATAGGACAACTTCTAATGGAAACAGACCGGGTCAAATACGAACGTGATGCGCAAGCAAAAATATGAAACTTTTTAATATCACTTTGCTTTTTAATCGTCTACCTTTTCATTAGCATAAATTACTTTTTCAGTTTGTTCATGCAACGGCCCTACGCATGAAATAACGAGTTGGCAAACATTTATATACATATTTTTGAAGTGAAAACTTCTTTAGTGGCGTTGTACACTTTTTTTGTAATGAGTAAAAAAATGTAAAACTCGTGTCAGGACACGTGGCCTGATCAAAAATTCGTAAGACAAAAACAATAAAATTGGAAAGGTTGTTGACTTTCAATATATTGCACGAAACATAGTAATATTATATTTTATCGTATTATAATAATAAGTATCTAACTAGGACGTCCAGGTGGCAGCTTTATTGTAAAGAAAAATATTTTTTTTACAATAGATGTCGCTAGGTACGCTTAAATGTGATTCAAAGTTGATTTTTCTTAGAGATAAACTTTTTAATGTAATATAAATTGTTGTTTGTGTACGATAGCGCAATAAATAAATATTGTATTCTACCACATAAATGATAGTACTTTTATACTGATAATTAAAGCAATTCGTGCCAAATTATTCCCTAACCATTCCAAAATATCAAAAATGCACAACGTTAATATTCAAGTTTTCACTTCTGCCGGCACTCCCGGAGTGCAACACGTCGTTTTTTTTTTTGAGTTTGTATGCTGTTGGTCGCAAACGACCTTTACAGCGTCACCGGGTCTGTGGACGGCGAGATCCTAAGGTGGACCTCAAGCCGAGAATTATCGAGTGCCTCTAGAGGTTTTCCAAGTGGATGGCATCTCCCCACGGTGGGAGTCTCCTCTCCGTCTAGAGCCTCTAGACCACTCGACCATGAGGGGGTTTTATATACTCAGTTACTCAACTGATTATGTTTTGTGATGCTACAAAAGATCTTTTTGAGATGTAAAAGCAGAACAAAAGATAAAATACATAAAACTAGACAATAGATAAGGGACATTTTAACGACGCGTTCCACAAAAGCGACTGATGAATTCGCACTCTAATATCTCTTGTTACAACAAAATCCTTGATTGCCAAGCTCGCGGTTAATTCATCAAAACCGCTGAAATAATTTTGTGTAACAGTGGGATCAGCTTAATTGGGGGAGTTAGTATAATTGCAATCTAGCAGGAACCATTGACGTAATATATTACCATTCTTTTTCTTCGTTGACAACAGTTTTAATGCTACGAATTACTTTTAATTACTACGAACCCGTTGAGAGTGAATGAGTGTTTAATTTGTCATTTTTATTTTTTCCTACTAGTAAAAGCGGTGAAGTAATGTCTTATAAATTGTAACTCATTCCGTTTACAATTTTGAGACCTGTGACAAACGGGCAGACAGACAAACGACAGAGTGACAGCAATTACGTTTCATTTTTAGGGTTCCGTAGTAATGACAAGGAACCCTTATGGTTTCGTCATGTCCGTCAGTCCGTCCCTGGTTTTGCTTGGAAACTTTTAGCACTAGAGAGCTCTAATTTTGTGGAGATATGTATATCAATCACACTGATAAAGAGGTAGAATATAAATTAGAAAAATATTTTTTTTAGGGTAGCTCCCCCCTACATCTAACCTGGGGATGATTATTTTTATCTATTTCTATCCCATCGTGTGGGATATGATTAAATAGGTCCTTTAAAATTAAGATAGATTTCTTAGTTTAAGAGTAGTAGTCGTTCAACTTTGGCTAAAGAAAATTTCTTACCTATTGAAAAGTCCTTGAAAGTAATCATTAATAGTGACATAGATGAAGTTCTTGTAGCGTAAAACCTTGCATTACAACAAAATAAAAATAAAACTATTTAAAAACCACAATACCATTTAATATCATTTCTAAACATTTATGTAATAACTATAAAATGAAAATCCGTAATTGGCATTAAGGTAAACTTTATTGTAAAATCTGTATTATATTAAGAAAATGCTGTGGATTATAGTCTTGAATTGAGTAAATAAAATAATGTTCCACAACGCTACCGAAGTACCAACGGCGGCTTCTGAGGCGCACTCACGTTATGTTTTTATAAAATGTAGTATGTTATTTACCGATAATTCGTATTAAAACCAAGATATAATTTTGAGTTTGAGACGCAGTTTGACATTGATTTAGGTAGGTATTTTAGCTGGGATACATAGATTGATATTAATTTGTATTTCTTATTTCCGATAGAGAAAATAAAGACTCCTTCTCAAATATAATGTGGTAACTACATGCACGGAACCCTACACTGCGCGTGTCACGACACACACATGGCCGGTTTTTACCCTTTGTGTATGGATTCCTAAAAACCTTACTATATTTAAGCTTTATTCTATCTCAATTTGGCTTACAATTCATCATTGAGAATGTTGTATTAAATAGAATAAATAAGAACTTTGGTGCAATTTCGCCAACACAACTTGTTATTTCTTAGGTCGCTATCAGCAGAATCTTCGCGGACAGACGCCGCGTCAGATAATGAGGAGAAACTTTCGCCCTTCAGGGAACAAGTTCAGGCCATCATTAGCTCGCTGGTCGACGACAGCCTGAGCACTGAACCCGACCAGGGCAAAGGAAGGAAAAAGACTGTACAGGTCGAGTAAAGACAAAGACTTATAGGCTAAGAACTCACGGAGTAGATTTTTCCCTCACTCAGCGGTTTTCAAAACTCACGAGACCCACTCACTCACGAGAAACACTTTTAGAATAACGATGCGCGATAACGATGCCAGGTTTGGATGCGCGCATCCGATGCGACTGGATGCCGTTATTGGATGCCGATGCAACAATTAGTTGTTGTCAGTGTTACTATACCAACAGTGCCACAAACGTGTCTGTGCCGGTGGAGATATCCCTAGCGGTCAACTAATATGTAATAAAAATGACAAAATGCTATGGATAAATTGAAATTCAAATTTTTGCTGCGTTCAAAACCTACGCTCTGAGTGCAATTTTTTATGTTATCATTTTGCCAGCATTCAATATTTTCAGTTAATATACCGAAAAGTAAATAAATGGATTCGGTTACATTTTCAAGTCATGATTCATGAAATCGAAGAGACACACCCACACAAAACACGCATCTGTCGTAATTCATATCGCATCTTATCCTATGAATCTACGATACTGACATTCACTTGGCATCGATGCGCGCATCCGATGCGACTTATCTGATACCGATGCGCATAGATTTTACAAATTCTAACGCCCACCTAAAGCCCATCTCTAGCGGGCGCAAATTGCGCCGTTATATTTGATTTTGCGTTTTACGTACAATTTCACATTCTGAGCAAGTTGTCATCCCGCAGCCGCAGCGGGCGCAGGAGAAAATCACGCTGTGAGTTCTTAGCCATTTATTTGTGGTATCTATCACTACTAGTTTTAAAAATCAAATTCGTAAATGAAATATCTACTGAGATATTACTACTACAAATCTCATGTGGTCTTTGAATCAAAATACTGATTTTGAAACAAAGGCGACATGAAATTTGTAGTAGTACTATACATTATTCATAATGAAAATATTGTATTTCTAAATTAAACTTTGTAGTTTGTATCGTCTGGCTGGTAAAATTTAATTAGAATATTAAAGTGCTGAGGGATAATATTAAAAATATTAAATATTGGACTGAGCTCGATTACTATAATGTCAATATCTTATGTTCAAGTTTAAGAAATACATTCCCATGGTATAAATATAGACTATTTTAATTACATCATTCTATGATTAATATCGACGAAAGATTGCCTCTTTAATTATCCAGAAGCACAATATTTTTTTGTAAAAAGACAGACAAACGACAATTTTTTTTGGAAAAAGCTAGTTTGTAACAATATGTTAAACAGAATATGTTCACCTTAACCGTCTATCACGAAATTCCTAACTATTCCGACGTTTTGTATTCATTATGAAATTATGCCTATTAAGGTCTCGTAACTTAAAGTTAGTTGAAATAACTTCGCAACAACTTGGAATTTTGGACGGACCATTCATCAAAAGTTTTCATTATCGTTCATCTTTTGCAGGAAGTATTCCTGGAACACATCACTCATCTTAGGATATGTATAGAACATAATAAAATGTACAAAGTTACCGTTAAACAAATCGAAGACACCGCCACGACTATACTCAGTAACGCTAAGGAAAATTATGATAATCGAACACGCCATACTCCAGTTTTAATTTACGGCCCCGACGCTTCGGGAAAGAGCACTCTATTGACACACCTTTACTTCAAATGCGAAGAAATATTCCCGAAACCTGTGTTAAGGGTGATTAGATTTTCGGCTTCCACGCCTAGATCGGCCTACAATTTAGAGCTACTGCGAGTGATGTGCCAACAGATATCAATAATTTTAAACATTCCGGAGGGTTATTTGCCGAAGGACGCGAGTTTCGATCCTTTGTACATAAACAATTGGTTTCAAAGTTTACTGAGGAGATGCGAAGACATGGAGAATGAAATACTGTTAATATTTATAGACAATGTTCATAGGGTTAATCCTTTAGAATGTGATATTGTGACGGGGCTGTCATGGCTACCGATGTCGTTGCCTCGGAATGTGTTCCTTGTTTGTACGAGCGCTGTGTCTTTGGAGCAACTGCAGTTGACGCCGGCTCAAAAGGAGAAGTTTAAAGTTCAGAACTGCTATTACTTATTAGATGCTATTGAGGAATCTGCCGATAATAATAGCTACGGAGACTATATAGATGGTGCCTTCGATAATTTAGAGTCTGTATTCGGTACTAAGGCGTTTAGTAAACTAGCAAGTAAGTTTGAACTATTGTTAACTGTCTTGAGTACTATGTAAATCGTTGTTATAGAAGTATACAACATAAACCCAATGCAAAGTCTATTTGACTTTAAACCTTAAACTGATATAATATTAGTTCTATTAATATAACAGTTATTAGGTACTTTAGAGATCAAACTGTATGAGTTTGCTCTCGTTCGTAGTGGGTGTACGCAAAGTCATAAGCGTAAATTAATTAGTTCCCCACACAGATATTTACCCCACGTTTTACTTCCTTATATTTATTTTAGGGACAAAGATTTTTATTTTCCAAAATTATCTTTATCTACATACCAAAATTCATCAACAGTCTGTCTGTATGTTTTAAATCATTACGTTATGAAAAACCAATGACGTATTTATAAAGCTCAATTGATGATTATTTTTACTCAGTCATTAAAACTAATTACTGACTGAGCAATTAAGGCCTATTAAGTAAAACTATTGATTCGATTCGATTGATTCCCCTCTACATTTGGAGTGGAAAGTTCCTCGAAAAGTCGTCCTCTACAGAAGCCATAATTAATGATCGATAAGTTTGACCAAATTGTTATATAACAAACCAATTTAAAAAAATCATATAATTTTTAGATTTTGCGCAACTTGTGATGTTTCGTTTCTACGTAACAATGTTCCTGTCTTAAATTGGAAATTCCTAAGTTCATCCATTACGTTTCAGGTTACATAACTTGTTCGGAATTTGGGCTGACGGAGTTGGAACTACTGGAGCTTTTGATGCCGACTAGCAACAGCGACGCAGTCATAACATTGAAAGACGCCAACTTCAACTTTTCTACTCTTTGCGTTGCCAAGTACATGATGAGTAAGACAACTTTTTGTATACCAGATATATAAATGTAATAAACCCCTTTAAGTGATCAGTCTGTCGTGATTTCGCACGAAAAGTAATCATCCAATTTTGTATATGTATAACATTTTTACTAAATAAAAAAAATGGGTTATGTAAATCTTTCGTAAGAGTGACTTACTTACTTTGCTCTTCGAAGATATCAAAACTGAAGTATTTTAGACAAAAGGAAACCCTTAATAGGCACCAAATTTTTATATTTAGTTATATCTCTTTTAGAGATAAGCCCACCTTTGCTTACTATGTATTTGACTATATGTTTTAACTATATGATGCAATAAAGAGTATAATAATATCTTACAAACTCAAATTTAACTTAAAACCATTTATTCAGTCTAGGCTTTTGTCGCTTAGGCGTTAGTCGCTATGCCATCGATTCGTTAATCCACAACGGGAGTCGTTGTGGTAGCAAGGGCTATTCTGAACTTGATTTTGTACGTTACGTTACGACAAAATGTTTAAAATCCATACTTTTCTAGAATCCTTGATCACGGAGAGCGTAGTCTCAGGGCGATGCACGTGGAGATGGGCCGCGGGTGGTGCAGGTACGCGCGCTCGACGGCGATACGTGCGGGTGCAAGCCGCTCTCAGGGACGCACACTCGGACTTAGCAGCCTTACACTTCGCACACTTCCTGAACGACGCTGATGACACTGACACTTCTGAAGCGCAAGAGCCTGGTGAGTCTCAATATCGGAAACTCCTCCTAGGCAAGTATGCTCCAATTTAGGGCACATCATTGCTTCCCACCAGGCAAAAAGTGATCAAACTTAATATAAAAAAGTGGAAGACCAGACCAATTATGATTTTCAGTTAGATATTGAGACAATACGTACAAGTGCAAGCCACTTTCAGAGATGCAGACACTGACCTGGTGGCCTTATAATTCGCACACGACACGACGCTCTTGAAAAGACTGGTGAGCATTAATCTCAGAAATGGTAAACGTTCATGAGTATCAGTCAGATATTCCGATATTATGTGTATGTAGACTCAAACCTGGCTGCTACAGAACACCACAGTGAGTACCAGAATATTTAGGGAAGATCAACTCTATCTTAAGGTTGAGCTATGCTTCTGTCATTTAGTAAGGATCTAAAACTCCACGGGGTGGGGGATAGGGTCAGAGTAGGCTACCCGCTAAAAATGAACGATCCAATCTCCAATGCGATTTCAATAAACTGTTAATGGCTCCTCACAGACACCATCTTTATTCTTTACGACTCCGCTGTCATCAGCAGTAAATCGTATCTCCTAAGATTTAAATATATATCTACGTTATGTCGCTGTAAATTTTCCAACTTAATACGAAATCTGTTTATAGCCTAATTTAACATCACATTAATTTAATTACGCAGGACGAGTTAATTATTGCGATAAAGAAAATGATAAATTTGGTATTGTGTAAGAGTAAAATCGAGAGACGGGTAGATAATATGTGAAAAATTAATGCAGAGACGACGTTATTATATCAGAGCAGCTGAGCGAAGCGATTGTTCGTAGAATGAACTCAAGTATGAAAAGATAGGGGCAGTGACTTGAATGAAGCGAAGCATATTTCGCTTAGATATCGGTGTGGCCCACATTCACAAAGCACCCCCACTAGTATGTAGGGTAGCCCAAAGCGGGGATTTTGGGATTTACAGAATAACATAAGGGAAGCAAGCTTGCACCTTGTGAAGTACTCTCACCATACCTGAGCGCTTTATATAGGCTTGAACGTCTAAAGCAAGAAAAAAAAACGTCGGGTTGCACTCCGGGAGTGCCGGCAGAAGTGAAAACTTGAATATTAACGTTGTGCATTTTTGATATTTTGGAATGGTTAGGGAATAATTTTGCACGAACTACTTTAATAATCAGTATAAAAGTACAATCATGTATGTGTTAGAATACAATATTTATTTATTGCGCTATCGTAAAAAAATGCATTTTCTTCGCAATAAAGCTGCCACGTGGACGTCCTAGATAGAGACTTATTATTATAATACGATAAAATAAAATATTACTATGTTTCGTCCAATATATTGAAAGTCAACAACCTTTCCAATTTTATTGTGTGTCATGATGCGATCAGCCCACGTGTTTAACCTGACGCGAGTTTAACATTTTTTACCCATACAAAAAAAAAAGTGTACAACGCCGCTAAAGAAGCTTTCATTTCTAAAATCAATAAACCATGACTTTTGGTCGCGTCCAAATCCATAGTCGTTTGAATAGGAGTTACAGTAGGGAATTTCTATAGACACCGCATACAAAGTTACCCGCTGATGGAAAACCTAGGTAGTGTCGACCAACGGTGATACATTGTTTCACTAACTTTAGTTATCAGACCGTGACGTTGCACTGACGTGACTAGTCAAAACACAGCTTACCCTTCCCGCACGCCACCAACTTTGGTGATTTAGATTTCAAGCAAAAATTTAGTAAATCTTGCTCTCTAGTGGGGGTGCTATGCAGCCCGTATTATGCATAGACGCGGCCAATTGTGGAATAGGCATATACAGCTTTCCCCTCTGTCAGATTGGGCATATAAATTGGGCATACAAATGACATGTGTGTGTGTGTGTGTGTGTGTGTGTGTGTGTGTGTGTGTGTGTGTGTGTGTGTGTGTACAGGATTTGGCAGTGTATTGTGTCATTTTTTTATGTGTTAGTGTCGTAATAACAGTTTTGTTTTTTACTCATGTAGTATGTTAAACTGCGTTTGTGTGCATATGACCCTTCCCACCCTGCAAAAATGGCAGAATAATTTGAGTAGTAATATGTTACTATGGCTACGCCCTTCCATGTTCTACTATGGTATTAAGTCACCAAAGTGAGTAATGAGTTCTCCTTTCACAGGGTGCGTAGAGGACGATGACGCTCTTCTGGATTCGACGCCATTCCACTCGGCTAGCAGAACCGCTGCTGCTTTTACTCAGAGACACGTGGAAGAGTCATGGTTGCATCTCCTACTAGCCGGAGATTTCTCCAAGCTGAAGGATTTGACTGTCTGTAACTTCGACTTTCTACTCGCTGCTGTAAGTCCTTGCCTTTTTTATTATTATTTAATAATTGACCATAACTGCTAAGTAAATTTTATATTAAAAGAAAAATCAAATTGAATTGGTTAAGCAGTCATCTGAATAGCAAAAGGTTGGACTACTAGACGCTACTAGACCGTAAGGGATTCAGGTCCCATCAGAGACAATTTTACTACAAAAGATTTAAACATCTAGCAGTTAATGATTAAAAAAATAAAAACAATATCTATTTTTTCTTTCAAATGTTTCATACTTGTAAAGGTCTTCGTTTGACATTGTGGATTACCTACAATGCGAATTAATGGTGTTGCCTTGCAGCCTAAGAAATACTAGAGGAAATTCGACACGGCCATTAGAAATGGTCCGTGCAGCCACGCGGATAAAGGAGGGTGGGGTTCGAGTTTCGTTTGCTGCCTGGCCAGCGTGGATTTATTCTATTAAAATTTTCTATAGATTTAAGCATCTAGCAGTTAAATGCTTAAAAAATTAAAATATAACAAGAATATCATTAAAAAACTGTGTTTACTCTTTCATTGTTCTACCTGAATCAGAAAGAGGGGTTAATTAAACAACAGAATAATGTAACAGCACTTCCTTGTCATAAATTTCGCTTCTAGTTATTACTATGAAAAATTACCGAGCCAGAATTGAACTTGGCTGCCAACAAACTTTGGCGAACTCGCAAAGTTTCCCGTCGGAAACTGCGATTCCACTGTTATAAGGCTGCTTTACCAAAAGTTTTGCTATAGTTCCAATTTTTATGTCGCAAAAACTTCATGAGCGTTAAGTATTACCACAGAAAAAGCCGACCTCGGCGGAAAGTTTTGACATCGGTTTGAATTTTTAATAGCCTATAAAAGCTTGGGGAATTCTTAAAGGACTTTTGAAAATGTTTATTTTTTCTCTCTTTTGTTTTTAATGGATTAATCATTTAATCCATAAGGTAGTTTGATTAAAATGATCGGTACCTTCACCGAATTGTCCATTATTTAATTATAACAACTATAGGTTTATGTTATAATGACATCATGGAAGCGGCGAAATTATCACTTCATAATTGTATTTCTTAACCCGAAAGTCCTTAGGTTCAAACCAAACAATAGTAATATACGTACAGTAAATATATTAATATTTTCACTACGAATATCGATCTACGTGCAACATAATACGGTGTTGTCAAAGTTAAATTATAGATGAACTCGACAGTTTGATATTCGGCCAAAACATACAAAACTGCGTCGTATCGCAGAAACTTGCGATGCGAATTGCTGCGGCACGATTTTGTTTGGCAAAGCTTTGGTTAGGGTGAACATAACTTCAATGTTAGACAGTCATATAGTAGTGTTTTAGAAACAGTGACATGAGATTTTTTAACTGCTGTTTTTGTTAAATAGATATATCAGAAAAGGAAGCTTTTGGGTTCATCCATTTATTACGATTATGAACGCTGATGGGAACTTTTTTACTCGAAAATTTACTCCGTTTGGTCTTAGTTTCCAAAAATATTGTACCAAGCCTAATTTCCCAAGAAGTACTAATGTACTGGAAGATTAAGAGATGTCTGTATTTGAAGAATACCTGTTGGACAAATACTTGACACTGGCAACCAATTATTCCCGATATAAATTTGCTGATATACCATTGTAGTACAGGCTATTGAAGTTTCGTTTTCTCTGTATCTATAAATTTATTATGATAAACTATTTATACTATATGTTTTATTCAGGTTGTGAAATCAATAATTTATAAAGTTTCAATTAAAGATAACTAAATTCATCGGCTGTTAGGCGGTACAAAGTTGTATCTTGATGAATGGGTGGATATTTTGATGATTTTTTTTTCATATAAATATATGCCTGTCACTTCTCAACAGCTAACACCATACCAAACCATCAATGTAATCGGATAATGCCTACATTGCAGGCATCTTACTGCCTAACGGAGCTTAAAGCTTTGAGCATAAAAACGGTTAGGTTCTGTTTATTAAAATTTTGGTCGATCGTGAAAAATTTTCTAAGCAAGATATTAAAAAATTCAGTGACGGTCGATTATTCATCGGTTTAAAATTGTTTGTGGCAAAACTCAAATACCTGGGCTCCCGGACGGGATCCCTTCTAAAATGTAAAGCTTTATCGCGTTTAAAAGGGAGAACTCTTACGTAACAAATAACAAACACGAAACGGATAGAGTTTTAAAAAAACATTTCATGCCTTACCTATTTTCTGTAAAGCCAGCACCCCAATATGGTTCTCTTTGAAACCCGAAACCCCACTCTCCGCCGTTTCAGAATCCGACAAAAGAAAAATTGAGGGAAAAATTACAAGTAAAAATGTTGGTAATGACAGAAACTGTAAGACTGCCTGGTAGACTATAAATTTAATGATTAAAATTAAATTTAATACATGTCACTTTATTTAAAATTATAGATAGTTTTATGGAAAGCCTAATAAATAGTTTCATCTCACCTAATATCCATTATTAATCTAAAGATTTAGAGCAGACGATTCAAATTCTAAGATTTTATTTGGGGGGAATCCTAAACAACAAAAGACTTCAGCATTAAATAACAGAAGCATGTTATTTAATTAACATCACTTATACTGTAGTGATAACTTTTTGTAGTAAATATGGAGCTCTGTACAACAGAAGAATATAGGTTGAGCCAATTAAAGTGAAGTCGAAAGGGGCGCTATGTATTTCTGCTGCACAGTATTTTTTGCATTTTCTATCATTATATATAATTGCATTATCTGTTAATCTTATATTTCCGTTGCTTTGCGACTGCACTAAACGGTTTCACCCGCATTAATTTAAAGCAAAAGGATATAGCGGATCACCCTTTAAAAATATGTAATATACCGTCATGGACTTTTTTATAAAATTTAAAGGAGAACAAGCATCATACATGACTTTTGTGTGACTTATTGTTTACTAGTGGCCCGCCCTCGCTTCGCTTTGGTGTAGAGCTATAGAGTAAAATATAGTTTTTGTTCTCAGTCTTCTATTAAACACAATGACTTTCTTTAAACACCTAATTACTATAGACACCCGGCCAGTACCGCCCGAACCGGTATGTTCCTGCATTTTAAATCTGTAATATCTACGAAAAAAATTATTTAAATTACATGCTGTGAAGGACCATATTGACTTATATTACATGCACAATGTATTTAAGGTAGTTAATTGGATAAGGATTAATGCTGTATTGCTTAAAATCGTTTTTTCGTAAATAAGCCATTATTTTCTCGTAATAAGTAATTAAGAAATGGTTATTGTGGGTTATCCCTAAGAGATAGACATATACCATAGCGGACTTTTTTGATCTAGCTCGTAGGGTTCAGCCAGCGTTTGCAATGTAAGCTCAAAAAATTGTGTATTTTTACGACCTCACATTAAAAACCTCTAAAATTATCAGTGTTTCTCTACTTTATTATGCATATGTATGCATATTATACATATAAATCTTCCTCTTGAATCACTCTATCTATTAAAAAAAACCGCATCAAAATCCGTTGCGTAGTTTTAAAGATCTAATCATACAGAGGGACATAGGGACGTAGGGACAGACACCGGGAAAGACTTTGCTTTATACTATGGAGTGAAGCAGCAAACAAAGCATTAAATTTAAGGTCACTTGCACCGAAGTTTTTAAATCAAATTAAGACTTTTTTATCCTAACATAGTTTTAAGTTTTGTTGTGTTGTTTTAGTTTAATATTTAAATGTTAATAATATGTTTTTACTATTTTTACATAGTTTAGTTAAATCTCAGAAATGTATTACCTGTATATTAAACACAATTAAGGCTTAATTCTGTTTTACACATCGTTCAATCTTTGTCAAGAGATATAAACATAATTAGATTTTAATTTAGTACTCAGTATTTAAAGTAACAGTCAATGACTCAGGTTTTGATCAAATATTTGATGTGGCTGGTCCTGAATTTTACCAAATAATTGAGTTGTCTAAAATTCTTTAATTTTAACTATTCTCCAAATAGGTTCAAACGGTAACGATATCGTACCTGCGCTGCATACTGGAGCACGTACGATGCTACATACTTGATCGTGATGTGGAGCTGGTGTACGGCGCCGTGAGGAAATCGAGCGATATCCTCACCCGGGATCCGATGCAGCTGGGAGCTCAAGTGAGGCCCAATATTTATTAAAAACATACACAGACGTTGAATAGAAGTAAATGTATGGCAAAGCGGATTTGCGGCTCGAATTGGAGCCCCGTCACGAGAAGTAAACTCCACCTTACAGAAGATCACAGTTAAACAACACTACCTTACGGTTTGTGTTTCTCTCGGTGAATAAGGAAACGCACACACATACACATACACACACATACACATATACACACATACACACACACACATACGACCACATACACATACACACACATACACATATGCACACATACACACACATACGCATACACTCATTAAAGAAAGGTAGGGCATAGCAGATTTTCCGATCGAATTGGAGCGCCCGTCTGGGGAAGTAACCTCCACCTTACAGAATACCACAGTAAAATAACACTACCTTTTTGTGGTGTTGTGTTTCTGACGGTGAGTAGGGTTTCATGACTCCACGGGGTATGGGATTGGGCAGGGTGGTATGGTGTTATTTGCATATTCTTGGTGTCGCAAATATCTAAGGCTATGGTGGCCGCTTACAATCAGGCGGGCCATACGCTTGTTTGCCACCCTTTTTATATAAAAAAACACTTCGTGTCGTTTACGCCGTGTCCTGCGAGCGTTGTAGGCAGTAAGCTGCGCTATAACATGAAAAATATATTATTGTCGTTTGTTTTTTTTTTAATTTGTTTTTAGGTGATTGTATACCACATGGTTTTGAATACGAAACCGTTAAAGAATTAATTTAAAGAAAAATGAAATTAAGTATCAATTTGAAATAATAACATAAAATACCCAGGCCAAATCAATCAATTGTTAACACGTTTCAGTTTTGTAGCGTCAGTTTTAGCAAACATTTGTGTTAAAAACTTTAAATTCAAACAAACAATTTTACTTTTGTTAAAAAAGTTTATAATTTAGCTTACTTCAATGAACTTACCGCAATTATTAAAATATGAAATTCGGATACCCCCGAGTTTAATATCCTACTGCGGTTTATCACAGCTAACATAATACGAAACCAAATGTACAATGTTTATTCAAATATCGAAATAATTCTGCTGAAAGATATTTAGGTTAATGAATTATTGATATTTGTTACCAAGCTAATGTAAATCGTTCTGGCCCAATCATTACCCCTATAATAATCATTAATCGTTACTGACAGTTAAGCTTGTAGGTGTTGACAAAATTGTTATTCAATATTATAAATTGCCTTTTCCCCTTTCAGTTATTAGAAACTTTAGTAGAAATCAAAACCGAACGAATAAGTTATAAATCAATTTTATTAGCTTCACGTCTATTAATATCCCCACTACTAATGTTCGCCATATAGGTACGTTACGGTCTACCAGAGATGATACTGTGTTTGGGGACTTTTGGAGTGGTCTTCAGTTCTTATCGGGATGGCATCGATTGAAGACAATAACGCATAGGCCTCGCGTTTATTTTGATGGAAAATGATACAAAAAGTGGTGTAATCATTGGGTATTGAAAAAAGGAGAAGTTTTAGGCTCGTATTACAGAATGACCACCAAGTTCTGATCCCCACTTGAGGACAGTTAGAAAGGGATGTCACTATGTGCTATACAGAGCGACATCCCTTTCTAACTGTACTCAAGCAAAGATCAACACCCAGTTGTCATTTTGTAATACGAGCTTTAGTCTTGTCAACTTATTGAACGAGCTAAGATAACTATCTCAGAATGGACGAGAAAACTAAAATTACTTGCAATTTAAACTCCTATGTTTAAAAAAAAGATACATTGAGAAAAGCAACTGACTCGAGCTGCTCAGGCGTTTGTAGTTCACGAACACACGAAAAGGTACACGTACTTTCGCGTTGTAGTGAGTAAATACACTGGTTGTCACTGTGACTCCATTGTTGACTCACTAAAACCTTTGACAATGTGCGTGTGCATAATATTATCATACCATTAATTCATTTAACTTAAACGAGAAACCGATTATTTAATTGCAAATTTGCTCTAAAAGCTATGACCCGACGAATGCGAGGCGTCGAAAATCGAAGAAAACCCCTTTTTAATTCGCAATTTTAAAAGCTCCTTTCATCTGAAACATTGCGGTGGGAGCCGTAAAGAAGTTTTGTTTTATTTATTAGACTGAGGCCGACCCTTTCGAACATCAAAAAAGATTAATGTATAAAGTTGGTGCGAAAAGAAAGTTCTATCCTTAAGTTAAATAGTTTCTTTATTAAGATTCCCTAAAGTATTTAATTAATAGAATGTACTAGGAGCTCCTTTTATAGCCGATAACTACTATGGAAAATTGTGAAAGAGAAGTCCGTGTTCAGAAGAAAAGCGCACGTTACCCGAAAACCCCATGCGTCAGCAACCGCTTCTTACGAGCTTTGAAATTGGCTTCATAAAATTTTAGTCTTATAACTCATTAATAAACCTCAAATTTCATTTATCGCAGTCCAATCACTGCCGCCTCATATACACCATACACATGCTACTCACACGCCTCGCACACGCCGGCACATGCCACGCACACGCCACAAACACGTTATGCATACGCCTTACACCCGCGCGGTAAATATAAATTGAGATTTATTGATACGTCATAGTACCCAAATTTGTCCGCGCTTGAAAAAAAGAACACGTGTCCTTTGCGTAGTCGTAGTCGGCGCGGCTTACACGTTCTTATATGTAGCTGTCTATGTTTTGCATTACAATGTTAACCTACATTGATATTATACTATATAGGTAGTGGTGCCAATTCTGGCGTCATTCTCTAAACTTAAAACTAAATTTAACATCAGTCTCTCCTTTTCATTCTGTATGGAGAATGACAAGGATATACTGCTGTCAAATTTAAGTTTAGGTTTACTGTATAGGTACCAAATACAGAAGTATATCAACTAACAAGGAGCAACACTCAAACTCTCACCTTTCCCGAACACTGATATTGTCTTCTGAGTTACCGACTCTAGTGAGACTAGATCCTTGTTCCTACTTTCACTGAGCTAGAGTATTTCTATCGGAATATTTTGATGAATCTTATATCTTGGAATTCTTTCGTCTACACACATCATAGAGACAAAACTTTTATAACAAAAAACAAAAACCGATTTCATAGAAAAACCACTAAAAAGCAAGAAATAATGCATATTCTTTACTTACATCTACATTTAAAGTCAACTTCTCATTTGGAGACGGTGCCATGCATATTGATAGATCTGAGTTGCCATTTACTGCTTGGATTGGCATAGCACCGACTCCAGACGTTAATTAGACTTTAAATGTAGATGTAAGTACAGAATATACATTATATATTACTTTTTAGTGGTTTTGTTTTCATAGTAACTAAGAACTATCAATGTGCCATGCATATTGATAAATCTGAGTTGCTATTTACTGCATGGGTTGGCATGGCACCGACTCCAAACGTTAATATGACTTTAACTGTTGGAAGGAATCCTGACTCACAGGTTTTATATGCGTGTACGTTTAACTGCGTTTAACGTACAAGGTACAACGTTTAACTGCGTTTAACGTACACTAGTGAGTGTCGTAGTGTACGTTTAACTGCGTTAAACGAACACTACGACACTCGCACACAAACAATGACACAACACATTGCCAAATCCTGTACACATGTATCGTTTGTTTGCCCAATTGTATGCCCAACTCGACAGAGGGGAAATATGTGTATGCCTACTCGTGTTGCTCTTTGACACACATGGTTGAGGTTGTAGTTTGGTCTCTAAGGTATCGTAAGCGTCTATAGGCGAAAACCGCCGGCTTACCGTTCAGGCGAGCCTTATGACTGTTTGTCTTCTTTTTACATTACCAATAAATTATTTCGTCATTTATTTTCGTAGTTCGTATAAATTAGTCCATAGAGTATTATGAAGTATAAAAAGTAGAAGCTAGTTTAAAAAGAATATTCTTATTTTCTCCTACAGTAATTCAACTAATAGCAACAGGTGAATGATTAGGTTTTAACTGCAGACCAAGATTTCCCAGGCGACGCTTCGTAATTCTCAGCTCATCAGCAAATGTCGCAGTCTGAGTGAAATTAAAAGTTTTTCCTTACAACGACGACTTTTGTTTTACACATTTATATTTAACACCGTATTCTTTTTCTTATTAAGTAATTGAATACTTAGTTTCTTATAGGCCTATGCTTTGTGGGCGTCGTGTCGTAAAATGGTCGTACAGTGATACGATTAATTAATTGTGTAAGTTCACAGGTCTATGCTACGACCTTCTGTGACTACTGAATGAATTTTTGGATAACTTATTTATTTTATAGCTAAGGCGCGTGGTCATTTTACAATAAATTAGATAGAAAAAATATACTTGGTCTCAGAAGTAGATCACAGTGGATTTTCTACTTAACTCTAGTGTGAGGTAACGTTTCGATTCCGATCAGTGTGCATTGCAGTAGGGAGTTTCATGCAAAGGATACTGAACGGCTAAGTTGATATCATACGGTCACCGTCTCTTACTGAGTTGATATGTCTACTACGACCTCGCGAATGCAATTTTATTTTTATTTTGAAACATACATTTATATTATTATATATTTTATTTTTTGTTGTACATAATTATTTATAAGTATTATTAAAGGTAATTTTACTTTAAATGAAACCATCTACTTCCCGCTCTCTATGTAACAGTCCAGTTACCCTACAGTCGTCTGGAAGAAATTGCTTCTTAGCGATAAGGCCGCCGTTTGAACTATTAATTAATAGTCTTAATTAATTAAATAAATAAATATATCAAACACTCACACCAATTAGCCTAGCCCCAAAGTAAGCACTGTAAAGCTTGTGTTATGGGATACTTGGGTAACGGATAGAATACATATACAGTATATATGTAAGTATATTTACATTGATATACATATTAAACATCCATGACTGGAGTACAAAGGCTCATATTCATCACACAAACATCTGCCCCCACTCTAGTCGGCAACACCGTGAAACCCGGCGTACAAACCACTCGGCCACGGAGGTCGCCAGGTCATTGTAATTTAAATTTTCAAGGCGTACAATAAAGTGATCATTCGTTTATTCAGATAATAGCGTGGTTGCGGCCAGCTGTGGCGAGGCGTGGAGTTCTGGCGACCTTGGTGACGGCCGCAATGGCGTGGTGCGACGGTTACGACAAACCTCTTCTGGTACCCCTTAATGGATGGTGAGTGAGACCTCTTTTTTGTTCTTCCTTATTTACTGCGATGACACAACAACCCGAAGTGGGTCTTGGCCTCCGATAATAAGAAACCCCACCTCGCCACCAAACTGTTCTTCCTAGATAAAAATAAATATTCCTAAACCGACTCATTAACTAGCGGACTAAAGAAGCATAACCCAAGCCTTACAGTGTTTACTTTGAGGCTAAAGGTGGGCTTTCGAAGCGAACGTCAGTGACGCCGCGACAGAGCGTCAGATAGAATTTCTATGCAAATGACATTGTCAGTGCCGCTTTGACCGACGCTGGCAATGACATTTGTATAGAGATTCTATCTGACGCTCTGTCGCGGCGTCGCTGACGCTCGCTACGAAAACCCACCTTTAGCCTCAAATTAAACACTGTAAGGCTTGGGTTATGCTTCTATAGTAATGAGTTATCGAGCTGCGTGTCTATAGACGCTAGAGGATAGCTTGTCTGGCAGTATTTATTATATTATTTTTAATTTAAACGGAAAGAGCGTACCTTATTAAAATTTCAAACGCTAATTTCAGCGCATTTTAGTACTAATTCTTCATTTTACATGTGTGAGAGAAGCATTACAGAAATTTACTTTAAAGAAACGAGTACCAATAAAATTATTGTCATTAATTTAGATAATAAAGTAGGCTGTATTGTTTTCTCTGTTACTTCTAATACAAAGCTTAATGAGAAATATCATGCTTAACAATTTAGTAATTAAAATATGCTAACTTGAACGGAACAATAGGATCCATCAGCAGTACAGACACAGCAATTAGTAAACGTTGAAAAATATAAAAACTTGAGGCTTAAAATTTGGTTATTTAGGCAAACTTGCCTTGTTTAAACAAAATAAAAACCTGCCCTCATATTGATAAGCTTTGATAATCTGTAATTGACGCATTTTGTAATTTTATTTCTCCTCCAGCCCAGCATAAGATTTAAACAAATTAATATATAAAAGGTTTTATTACAACGAAGAGGAAGTAAGTTTAATTGAAACCAAGTATAATTATATATATGTGGGGTAGAACATCAAAGTTTAACGTCTTAACAACAGTCTTTCATTTCAAAATAAACTTTCCAACGCAGTACTTGAGGATTTCACGCCCGTAGCTTTAAGTACACTCATGTTAGTCTCAGGATGTTAATGTGCGGTTGCATTCAAATTGAAGTTAACCTCTTGTTTAGTTGGCTCACGATTACAGTATGCTATGCTCTAAGCAGTATTACGATCATCAACATACCAAAGTAGGACATTCATGGAGAATATCAAAAATACAGTGGCGTTCAGTGGTGAAAAAAAGCTGCCGATTTCTTTATTTCGTTAGCGTAAAAATGAGTTTATGTACAGGTGTATATAATTATTGAAAGCTTGTGAAATGACATAAATCACAGATGTAATATTTTGTAATGAGAAAAACGTCAAATATCCATTCCATTTTTGTTATTAAGAGGTACCTATCTAATGTTTACAAGTAAAAAATTAACGTTCATTACAGTATTTACCTTAAATTACAGTCACGAGAATCTTTTTAATATATCAAAGACTTCTTTTGACAAACGTTTATAGGACAGCATATTAGAAAAGTTAATTAATTTTTATGATAATTAAAGTAGATTACGAACTCTGCACTTAAATCTTATCATATTTTCTGACTTCCTGGTCCCTACATGCGAAAGTTTGTATGGATGTCTGTTACTTACACGCTAAAACAGCTGAACGGAACGGTTGGATTAAATTTGCCATATAACTTTTTATCGCAGAAAAATTTACATTCCTGTGGGATTCTCAAAAAACGAACTAAACGCGAGTGAAGTCGCGGGCGCAAGCTTATTATTAATAATGTATTATTACAGCTCAATTACACTTGGTCGTTACCTCGTATTCGGGTGCAAAAAGCCATTACTCGGATTCGGGCACCCGAAGCAATATTTACCCTGAAATACGGACTGGAAGACAGTGTCGGGTAACCAAAACGAAAACTACCCGAATACAGGCGTACTCGACTCCGTTTATTTACACTAAGCCGTTTATTCGAATTTCTTTGGCAATCGTATTCGGGCTAACGTCCAATTGTAATTGAGCCATTAAGGGGTCTTAGAAAGTTCACAACATAGCTATTCCGTGAAAGAAAAACTGATGATAGCGCTTAATTTTAAATAGCGAACTAAATGTTTTTGTTCCAGAAGTCGGGAGCTTCCGTTACCACAAAACAATGAACAAGCTGCATAGGTTTCATTGCTCATTAATTTCATATTTCCCGTACATACTTACCTTTATATTATATTGACTTTAGTTAACTTATAAATGTTGCTATGTAATAGCTAGGATATTTTTATAATTACTGAGTGACCTATGAACTATTTAAGTAAAAAAAAATATTACGTTTTATATATGTTACCTTCTCGTGATTGGGACTTTAATAAGCAAGAATATTTTTATTTTTTATCACTTCTATTCGAAAGCAGCTAGTGTTTACAGTTTTTTCATCCCTAGGGACTAAAAGTGATTTAAATTAGGCATGTGAATATTATGAGTAAAAGTTCCAAGCATCAAAGAGATCAATTTCGAACGTCTTATAAACAAGTCACAGTCACAGACTGTATAAAACTAGACCCGCTTGTCAAATTAAAAAAAAACTTACATCCCTTCGTTCATAATTGTTTACATACAGGAGACGGTTCTTTGTATGGAGGGTGGTAGTGAGTCCCTAGCAGACTCCAACTTTTAATGATATGTAGGGCACTTACAATGTAAATCGTTTGCCAAAAAACTAGAATTAATTTTATTCTACTTTTTATACAATTATAACAATGTTAAAATAATTATTAATTGGCAAATGACAAGCTTTTTTATATATTTTTTGTTGCCAAAGTATCAAATATGTTTTATTCAATAGGTAAGTAAAGCAGTGATAATTATTCTAATCATCTTTCATTACATTATTAGGTATTCTGTAGGTATTTTATTTCAAAAAGAATCAATCTAAAATTCATGTAATAATTTCACCATTTCACCACGATTTCACGAAGACTGAACTGTTTGACATTTGTCATAGTGACTAATAGACAATGATTAAGTAACACGCTTAAAAATATAACGTTCTACTTATAACAGAGTGGCCAGCATCCTTACAAAATTGTTGAATTTTTAAACACTATTGAATCTTATCTCTGTATCACCATTTGTATCCATATTCTGCAAATAAAGATGATTATGATTATGAATTAATCGGAGAGAAAAGAAAATTAAAAGTATCTGTTCCTGTTATACTATAAAACAAGCTTTCTAATGTTATATATTTAGTCGCTGGCGGAAACGAACTACTACTTTTGAACCATGTCCTTTTGATTTCATTATGTGTCTTCCTCAAGTAGTGAGAATAGGTATTAATAATTCCCAAAATCATTTTTTGGAACGCTAAAAATGTTAGTTGCGTTTACTAATTTTCTCATAGAGGATGATAAAAAGTGGAGCGTCCAGCTCAAGAGCAACACTATTTTAATTCTCGATCTACTTAAGACTCCTCCCGCACTGGATTCAAAAAACGCTTTCGCCTTCAAAATAATTCTTTGCTCCCGTAGTGAGGCCGCACACCGGAGCCACAAGGTACATGCACGCAATATTTACCTTACCATAATATGCACGCTACATTTTTTCTTCCGTCTCGCTACTAAATGCAAAGATCTTTGACTAAATACACCCGCTACCAATGTGTGCGTGCTTACACGCAGATATAAGAAGGCGTTAAATGTGTCGCGTTTCAAATGGGACGCCACAATTATCGTAATACAATTGTATGTCTGGTGTGCGGCTCGATCAATCTACTATTTTGGTAACTGTTTCTGAATCTTTAAAAAAACATAATAAATGTCACAGATGTAATCTTAAATCAAATCAAATGTTCACTCCCGTCTCGTATGTAATAAAGCCGATGTAGAATCATATACCTAACATAACCCACCTGGCTTTACCAGGTAGGCCTTTAAATTAGCACAACCTGTGGCACAATGCATACCACAAAGCCACTAGCGTTTAGCAAAGATCAATACGGCTAAATTCATTGTTTGTCCGTACCGTTTCGCTTGGGACGAACTTTACGGCATTAGGATTCAAAGGCAATTTTATAGGTTCAAAACCCTCTCTTTATAATACTCAAGTATTGTAGTGCTGTTTAGTTTTATTGTATAACATCATAATATCTGGTATTAACATTATCTAATACTAATACTTTTATTCTTTTAAGCATTTAACTGCCAGATGTTTATGCGTAGACCGCTTAACTGAGTCCTCGTCCGCACCTCTCACGGTCCCCGTTCTCGTCCTCCCCCATACCCTGTACCCCGCAGGCGAGGACTCAGTTAAACGTTTTACCTATAAATGTAAAGAAAATTTTACTAGAAAAAATTTCACGTTGGCCAGGCAACAGCAGGGACTGGTCTGCTGCCTGGTCCGCGTGGATTTTTTATGAAATATGAAATACAAGTTAATTAATCAAGTTTAAGTATTCATTAAAAAAAAGGGTATATGAAAGGAGATTGGTCAAATTGGCCTAAATGCAAATAAAATATTGACATATACAGTAATTCTTGGCGTAATTTATACTTTATTTTACAGTCATTAGATTTTAACGGCCACCTTTAAATAATATATTAATTTTAAAAAAGGACTTCTATTTTTACCGGTTTGTAAAACAAACGAATCATTTTTATTGGCTATGGGTGTAGTAACATTCACAAAGACTGATCGAGGTTGTTTATATAACATCAAAACAAATCTATTTTGTAAAGATTGATAAAATATTTCGATGATATTTTAATTCAAAATGTAGATGATATGTAATATTAAACGCAATATATTATTACATTAGAATTACCTTTTACCATTATAAACCTAATTATTACTAAGAAAATATCCTATTGGTTTTTATAAAATTATGATAACAGTTCCATGTTTCTCATAACATAGGTAAGCAGGTACC